AACTAACTTGTTCAGTTGAGACCAGACATTATGTCAAACCTAACTTTTTTCAGAAGGCAATTAAAAATGACAATTTCAACAATCGATAAACCACATCCTTTTTTTTAATGTAGAAAGAAATTAACTATGTTCAAATAGCTATTTTTCTTCAGCTTCGTTTTAGCACCCAAAGGATAAAAACAGCATCCAGATTATCACAAATAAAAACAAAATGAATAGCATTGGAATCAGTTTTTTTCCCCATTGAGGTTTATAATATCTATACAGAACTTTGATACTACAATGAATTATATTTCCGTAGTTCTGATTTAATTTCTTTAAACTCTAAAGTTATTTTTTAAATTGTAAAAATGCTTTTATTGTCATAGTGAATTGGGCTCCAGTTCTTTTTCATCATTTAGAATACTGACTACTAGTTCTAATTAGGGGGAAAACAAAACACAAAAAACAAACAAACAAAAAACTTCTTGGAAATCTCTTCATTATGAAAGCACGTTCAGCAAAAGTAACTCATGTGCAAGCAAATCGTAAAAGGCACAGCTCTCCCGAAAGTACATTTCGTTGATTGTCCCACTTGTCAACATTCTTCATCGTGATTCTTGATGAAAGAGTCTTTCAATCTTGTGAGCATGAGTGTGCTGTCTCACGAGTATGTAGTTTCACATCCTTGGATAGGAAAGGTAGCTCACAGCTAGAGAAAAGCTTGAGGAGTTTAAGTTTTAATTCCTGAAAAACCTTACATCCTGCTAAGCAAGAAAACACTATTTTTGGCAACTTTTAAATGTGTCAGAAATGTATGCTAAAGTGGCCCAGTCAATCCTCATATATTCTGTAAATTTGTTCTCAAAACATTCCTGGAAGAAAGGCATTTCAAAGGAGCCACTGCTGGACAGGCTTCCATTTCAGTCTCTAACAACAGGTTACCTGGCTCTCCTGTTCTGGGGCTTTATCCAGACACTGGTTACTGTCACATGCTGCAGGGTTGGTTTCATTGGGTCACACTCCCAAAGTTTGTTGCCTTTTATGTGGTGGATTTGAGCATTGTGATCAAGTCATTAAGTATGGAAACGTCCAAACGAAAGTCATCTGTTCTAATTTATTTATTGGCAGTACAAGGGAAGATCTGATTACATCCCATAACCATGCCAGCTAAAAATTTCAAACTGTTCATTCTCTTTTGTATTTATGTTACCCAGATATTGATTTATTTCCACATTTTGTATCTCTTCCACACAGAAATAGCAGGGCAGAGCTTGAGAATCAGGGTAAGTTTTTTCTAATTATCAACAGAAAAGTTTGTGTCTTAGACCAAGTCTTGTTGGTATATCTCTATAATCTACCTTTATATCTCCTGGGGAAATTACACAGAAGAAATACCAGACTGTATCTATCCAAACTCTACAAGTAATCATTTTTATTGATAATCTGCCCTGTGCCTTCTGGAAACATATAAAGTGTAGATTTCCAAAATATATATCCAACATGTATACAACAATTTCCAAAGTATGTTGAGAGCGCCAATCCTAAAGGAAATTTCTATGTTTCCTGCTCCTCAAATATCCATTCCAGCATTGTACCAGCTTGGTAGGCTTGCCCTAACAATGTACCACAAACCAAGTGGCTTAAACAACAGAACTGTATTGTCTCAGTTCTGGAGGGTAGAAGTCTGAGATCAGGGTGTCCATAGGGTCATGCTCCTTCCAGATGTGCTAGAAAAGGGTCGATTCCAGGATTCTTCCTAGCGTCTGGCAGTTCCTGGGCTTGTGGCAGGATAACTCTGAATCATCTCATGGCATTTCCCCCTATGTATGTGTCTACAATTTCCCCTTTTCATAAGGACACCAATCATATTGGTTTAAAGCCCACCCTAATGACCTCATTTTAACTATCTCCAAATAAGGTCACAACTGAGGTACTGGGTACCAAGACTCTAACATCTCTCACTCTCTGTCTCTGTTTTTTGTGTGTTTTGTGTTTTTTTTTTTGGAAAGGGGGACACAATTCAACCCATAGCAAACGACATATATTCCAATTTCTTAAAAGTTATCTCTGTCTATTGAAAAAGGTCTCCTGCATTGATGGCGTTCTGACAGGAAGACTCATCACTTCACTCCACTTCTCTTTGGGGAAAAGGGTGTCAGCAAGAATTGAGCTTGCAGTTGAATACACCACAGGTCATAACCTGTGATGTACTCAAAAAGTATCCTGGATAATCACATTGATGATGAGACATGCCTCTGTTCTCCTGTCTTATTTGATCCTGGCTACAGGAGCTCCATCCAGCCCACTGGACACTCACAACATGAAGATGAGCACTTAACCTTTTAAAAACAATAGCATCTTTTTAATCTAGCGATCATCAATCCAGAACATGATTCCACCTGGATTACATGAACTAGTCCTTTTAGTTTTTTCACATAATTCTCTAGAGGCCTTTTTTTAAAGTCTGCTAGTGGCATCAGTTACCAGAACAATTTCTTCTAGTATGAGCCTTGGTGATCGAGTAATTACACCATGGAGAGGGCAGTTCGCAGAAGTGTGCTCCAAGTCTCTTTGCAGGAAGCAATCGCCAACCTTGCTGTAGGAAGAATATCTGGATATACCTTTGTTTGACATCATCTCCAGCAGGAAGTCCTCCCTCCTTTTCATGCATTTGTTCTATTCACTGAAGTAAAGNAAGGCACCCATTTTCTAGAACAAATCTAGCAGTAGTGTGTGCTATTATTGTGGTCATGAAGCCAGGTTGCTGCTACATCTATCATCACCTCAGATTGGGGGCTCACTGTAGCTGCTGTTCTCAGTCTCTCAAATCCTTGGGTACAGCCCAGTAGTGCTTCACATGTTGCCATATGTCTTAATTTTTTTTAACTCAGACACAATTGACATATAACATTATATTAGTTTCAGGTGTACAACATAATGATTCCATATATGTATATATTGTGAAATGATTCCCACAATAAATCTAGTTACTATCCATCACTTCACATAGTTAAAAATGTTTTCATGTGAAGAACTTTTAGGATCTACTATCTAGTAATTTTCAAATATACAATACAACATTATTAACTATAGTCACTATGCTGTACATTATATCCCAGAACTTATGTATCTTATAACTGGAAGGGTGCATCTCTTTCTCACACATACAACCAAAATTTTCAAAACTTTATCCTTAAAATGAGCTTAACATTTTCTCATGTCACTGAAAGGCATTAAAAATATCATGAATTATTTCACTTATTGGTGCAATATCATATGATCTCACTTATATGTGGAATCTAGAGAACTGAATAAATGAGCAAACTAAACAGAAATAGTCTCAGAGATATAGAGGAAAAATTGGTGGTTGCTAGTTGGGAGGGCGGTGAGGATGAGGGAGAAGGTGAGGGAATTAGAAAGCACAAATTGGTATTCACAGTATTTCCACAGGGATATTGAAGACAGTTTGGGGAATATAATCAATAACCTTGCAAAGATTTTGTAGGGTGTCAGATGGGCACTGGTCTTATTAGGTAGACTACTTCATGGACAGTATAGATGCCTGACCACTGCGCTGTACACCTGAAGCTGAAGGTGAATAATATTGAATGTCAACTATAATTTTATATATACATATATATATATATATATGTATATATATATATATATGTGTGTGTGTGTGTGTGTGTATGTATATGGTCACGAGATATGGAATGCAGCATAGGGGACATCGTGTCAGAGGGGTAATAGATTGGGGAAGGGGGTATCACTTTGTGAGGGGTATAAATGTCTAACTATTATGCTGTTCTGTACACCTGAAACTAATGTTAAAAATCATGAAAATAATTATAACATTGCATCAATTTGTGTAGATTTGTTCATTTCAAGATTGCTTAAATTATTTAAATTTCCTCTTCCTGGTGTTCTGGAAGTCTTTGCCTTAGAAGATATTATCATATTTTTTTTTCAGGTGCAGAATGATGTTGCAATAAAACATAAAATCAAGATACAAGCTTTACTTTACCCTCACTTACAGGTAATTGATTCTTATTTGCCATCTCACCAAGAAAATGAGCATGGTATAGTTCTGACAAGAGACATAGCCATAAAACTTGTGAGTTTATATCTTACTAAGGATGAAACATTTCCCCAAGCAATGAAAAGAAACCAGCATATGCCTCTGGAATCAAGACATCTGTTCAAGTTTGTTAACTGGAGTACTCTCTTACCCAAGAAGTATAGAAAGGACCATGTTTATACTGAGCCAATTCTTGGAAGAACTAGTTACTTATTGCCAGCACTTATGGATATCAGAGCATCACCTTTGTTGGCCAATGATTCACAGTTACAGAATTTGCCATCAACTTACATTCTTACCTGTGAATATGATACCTTGAGAGATGATGGACTTATGTATGTTTCAAGACTTCAGAATGTTGGAGTTCAAGTTTTTCATGAACATGTTGAGGATGGATTCCATGGGGCTTTATCATACATGAGATCACCACTGTATTTACATCTAGGTCTCAGGATAAGAGATATGTATATTAGTTGGCTGGATAAGAATTTATAAGTATATACAAAGTATACATGGCCATCACGTAGTTGGTTGTAATTTGTGTATTTTGTAGTTGTAGTGCGAAGAACAATGCCATTTGTATTTTTATTGTCTAAATCTAGATTTGAATTAGTTACAATAATTACTGTATATTCTTGAAGTAGTAATTTTTCTGACTCACAAAACCCGTATATGTAAAATGTATATAATC